TTATTATATAATATCTAATTAATGTTTATTTAATGTTTATATTTAACCCTTGAACATCATACTATTTTCCAGGGAATGGAAGTAACTCGTTACTTGTAACGAAGTTACAGTTACAAGTTACTTTTTTGGTAACTTTACTAGTAACTGCGTTACTTTTTTTCTTTGGTAACTGTAACGGTAACGAAGTTACATTTTTTTGGTAACGGTAACGAATTTTACAGTTACGTTTATCGTTACTTTGCACATGATTGGACACGATACGACACAAGCCACTTACACTGTAAAAAAATTTCGTAAATTTACACATATAATAAATATAAAATAGATTACATGATTAGTTCTGTAAATATAAAAAATCATGCAATTTTACAGAAATTACAGTAATTCCACAAAAATTATGTAAATTTGTTTTTATTGTGTAAATATATCTTATTTTATATTGGAAATTATAGCAGGATATTTTGAATATTTTCTGTAATTATCCAAATTTTAGTAATATTACGTAACATAAAAGAAATTTTTCGCGTATTGTTGTTAAATGTATAATAATATATAGTGCGAAATATATTGTCATATTATCGTTCTTGTAGCTACACATATACACATTGTAATTGTACTTCCACAATCTGCTTAGTTCCAAACCAAGAAATTATTTTTATTTGCATATTGCAAATTTACAAATGTGGACGTTTACAACTATTATAGTGGATCTCAAAATTATCCAGCATAATAGTTATAATTTTACACAATTTTTTACAATGCGCTTGAGATTAGAGAAGCCTCTAGGCTCGTCCGCTATGATTGTTGGTCGTCGATTTAAAAAAAAGTAACGAAAAGTTACTTTCTCAAGTAACGGTAACTGTAACGAGTTACTTTTAAAAATCGGTAACTAGTAACGGTAACTTGTTACTTTTCCTACTCGGTAACGAGTAACTGTAACTTGTTACTTTTAAAAAGTAACTTTCCATTCCCTGCTATTTTCGCTACCTGATTTCATCACACATGGGTTACGGTAACCCTGGAGTCTTCTTTTGCTTTTATCTCGGTATTTAATGCATTTTGGGATTTTATGTCCTTTTTTGTTGTTAATTGACTAAATATAATTTCTTAGAGTAGCGTGTATCCTCGAGAAGGAAGTCGGTAATTATATGCGGAAGGCCCGGCGATAGTTCGGAAAGGATTAAGTATAAGAATATCGAACGGCACAATTATGATAAACTCTTTGTTTAATTTAACTCAGACTATTCGTCTACATGTCCGATCTCTCCGAAGTTTCACAGCAGAGTTCCTTGTTCTCTCGCGCCGGAGTCTCGCATGACCCCCTGACTTATTTTTCTCGAATCTTCTAGAAGTCTTTTATTTCTATTGTTCTACATGTTTTTTGTTTATTCTCTTGTCTTTCCGACGCTGTTATTGTTTCTGATTTTAACGTTATTTTTAAATGATTTATAATCTAACTGTTTTCCTGAATTTTCGCTATCTGATACAATTTAATATATCACGGCTAATCGCTTACTCGACAGAGGCATTTAAATGCCTCAGCTGATTCGCTTCGCCTGTGCGTTTGTGTGCACAGTCAATATTGTTCTCGGCGTGCCTTACTTTCAATACTACGCCTTTAAATTACTTGTGGCGATATTTGACGCCACAGGACCCCCCTGCCAGTGATTTACTCACGATACAAACACAAAAAAGAAATAAAAATGAACAATGAATAATTATTTCACATAAATTGAATGCTGCATAGTCAGTGGTGGGTCTATCATTGTCTGTGCACACATTACTTTTATTTTTACATAATTATTTGCCGTGCCAAAGAAAGAAACCAAAATTACGAACTATAGTTAATCAAATTAAATTAAATTAAATTAAATTAAATTAAACCTCGGAGAGAATATATATATATAATTTTTAACAACATTAACGCGCGCTTAATTTGCTTCTCAATACATAATTTTCTTTTATGATAGGCCCGCCTGGAATCTTTCTGGAAAATGCACTCTTCTGCCGCTCCTGTTACTCTCTCTGTGTGTTTCTCCATGGAACCCGGCCGGCTTCCGTCCTGCTCGGATCCCTTGGTTTCCGTGCGGCTTTGCTCGCGTGGCTTGTTTACTTCCTTCGGAGTACCTGTGTTCTCGGATTTATCTAAGTAAATACGCCGGTTTCAACTGGTCGATAGAGACTGTTACATTTCTTCCCTGCATTTGTACGACAAAATACTTGTCTTTTCGCTCCATCACCGTGTACGGCCCGTCGTACGCTGGGTGTAACGTCGTCCTTGCTGCATCGTGACGGACGAACATAGCCTCTGTCGTTGCCAAATCTTTGTATATAAATGTTTTTCTTTTACCATGCCAAGCTGCTTCCACCGGCTTCAGTTCCTCGAAATGGCTTCGCAGCTTTTTCACAAATTCGTGCGCATCGTCTATTTTGTCTGCGATTCTCCGTCCTAGGAACTGTCCTGGCAGGCGCAACGTCTCCCCATACACCAGTTCTGCTGAGGTCGCCTTTAGATCCTCCTTCCATGCAGCCCTTATCCCAAGTAGTACTGTTGGAAGTGTCTCTGTCCACCGGTTATTTCCGTGGCATCTAATCGCTGCTTTCAGCTGGCGATGGAACCGCTCCACCATGCCATTGGCCTGCGGATGATATGCAGTTGTCCTCAGGTGTTGCGTTCCTAGAAGTTTATTCAAGCTATTAAATAAATACGACTCAAATTGTCGTCCCTGGTCTGTGGTAATTTTGAGAGGCACTCCGAACCGACATATCCAATTTTCGTATAATGTTCTAGCCACCGTTTCAGCTTCCTGATCCTTCATTGCAAACGCTTCTGGCCACCGCGTAAATCGATCCGCGCACGTCAGACAATACCGTTTATCCTCTGATACCGGCATCACGATAATGTCAATGTGTATATGTTCAAATCGCTTAGACGGACTGGCAATTTCTCTAAGCGTTGCCGACACGTGCCGCGTTATTTTCGACCTTTGGCACGATATACACGCGCGTGCCCATGTGTTACAATCTTTCCTTATCGAAGGCCACACATAACGTTGAGCTACAAGTTTCCCAGTTGCCTTAATTCCCGGATGAGCCAAATTATGTATTAAATTAAAAGCTGTCCGTCTGAAAGGCTTCGTCAAAAATGGTCGCGGCGTTTCTGTTGTCACGTCACAGTATAATTGAATTCCTGCTCCAGGAATCGTCACTCGCTCCAGCTTGAGATCGGCTTCTCCTTTCAAGTATATTTCGAGTTCTCTATCATCTCTCTGTGACTCCGCTAGAGCAGCGTAGTCCAGTGGTGATTTTATTTCTTCTATCCTCGACAGTGCATCCGCCACTGTGTTTTCATCGCCCGTGATATATCGAATATCAGTTGTAAATTGACTTATGTAGTCTAAGTGTCGAAATTGGCGTGGCGTGCTCTTCTCGGCCCTTTGTCGAAACGCGAAAGTAAGCGGTTTGTGGTCCGTATAAACCGTGAATGTCCTCGCCTCCAACACGTGCTGGAAGTGCCTGATCGCGAGGTAAATTGCTAACAGCTCCCTGTCGAACGCGCTGTATTTACTTTCGGCTGGCCCTAGCTTCTTCGAGAAGAACGCTAAGGGTTCCCAGCCGTTGTCGCCCTTCTGCTGTAACGCCGCCCCGACACTATGTTCGGACGCGTCGGTAAACAGCGCGAGATCGGCGCCAATCCGCGGGTGCGCTAGAAGGGTAGCTTTCGTCAGAATTTCTTTCGACGCTTTGAATGCCCACTCGGCCTGTGGTGTCCAAGATACCGGCGCTCGACCTTTTCCTAAACCGTGCAATAAGTCGTTGATCGGTGCTAATGTCTCCGCGGCTTGCGGCAAAAATCGCCTATAGAAGTTGATCATCCCTAAATATCTTCTTAATTCTTTCGCGGTCTCTGGTCTTTTGAATTCTTTTATCGCTTGTACGCGATCCGTGAGCGGTCGAGTCCCCTCACCGGTTACTAGGTAACCCAGGAACTCCACCTCCGCTTGGCCGAAAGTACATTTCGCAGGGTTTATGATCACCCCGTATTCTCTTAATTTTTCAAACACCATCTTTAAATGTTTGCGATGTTCTTCCTCGGACGCCGACGCTATTAATATGTCGTCGATATATGCATAGGTGAACTTGAATTCGCGTAAGATTTCGTCCATAAAACGTTGGAACGTCTGTGCCGCATTTCTCAAGCCGAACGACATGAATAAAAATTCGAACATACCGAACGGCGTAGTTATAGCCGTTTTCGGTATGTCCTGCTCTGCCACCGGTATCTGGTGGTACGCTCTCACCAGATCCAGAGTCGAAAATATTCGCTTACCTTGTAGCGATTGCGCGAAATCCTCGATATGTCTCACCCGCGGGTATCGATCCGGCACGGTCCGCGCGTTGAGTGCGCGGTAATCCCCGCACGGTCTCCATTCTTCGCCACGCTTAGGCACCAGGTGCAGAGGTGACGACCAGCACCCCTTTGATGGACGCGCAATTCCAGCTTCGATCATTTTTTGGAACTCGCGCCTTGCAGCCCTCAAGCGTTCCGGCGCGAGTCTTCGTGGCCTGCTTGTCACCGGTGGTCCCGGCGTCGTTTCGATGTAGTGTCGCGTCGCATGCCGTACCGCACTCGGCTGTCCTTCCGGGCGCGTAATTTCCGGGTACCGTGCTAGTAATTCGTGATATATCGTCGCTCCCGTTACTGTCTTTATGCGTGGCGCATCACAACGCAAGCACCGCCCGGGAGACTTTCGCGTCGCATGCCGTACCGCACTCGGCTGTCCTTCCGGACGCGTAATTTCCGGGTACCGTGCTAATAATTCGTGATATATCGTCGCGCCCGTTACTGTCTTTATGCATGGCGCATCACAGCGCAAGCACCGCCCGGGAGACTTTAGATTCGTCATTTGATCGACGAGGCGCGAATTTTTTAAATCGACCATAAGTCCGTAATGTGCCAAGAAATCGGCGCCGATTATCGGTCTCTATCACGTCTGCTATCACGAACCGCCACGTAATCTCGAATTTTTTAAATCGACCATAAGTCCGTAATGTGCCAAGAAATCGGCGCCGATTATCGGTCTCGCCACGTCTGCTATCACGAACCGCCACGTTAATGCCCGCCGCAATCCGAAATTCAGCGTTAACGTCTCTGTGCCATATGTATAAATCGTCGAACCGTTGGCTGCCGAGAGTTCGTAGGTCGATCTCTTACGTGGCCCGCGCACCATCTTACGCGGGTACACGCAGAGATCCGCGCCTGTGTCAATTAGAAAGTGTATTTTCGTCTGTTTGTCCATTATAAAAAGACGGCTCGTTGCATGGCCCGTATCGCACGCCGCCTCTAACGACTGGCCTCCGCGTTTCCCTGCTGCGGCTGCCATGAGCAAGGTTGCACGCACTTGTAAGAGTTCGAACCGAATCGCCAGTGGTACCAGCACAGGCCACTCTCCGGATGGCCCCGGCTACGCGAACGCGCACGCGGGCGCGAGCCCGAACGCGGTCGGCCCCGGCCCCGATCACGGCCCCGGCGAGGCCGCTCCTCCGTGATTGCTTCGATGGATTTCCTAAGCGCCATTATCTGGTCCGACACCTCCTGCTGCAGTGCCAATCGCATCTGAGCTAATTTGATTTCCATCCATGCTTCCATCGAGGCGGGATCACTCGCCCCGGTTGTCGCCGACGCCCGCGACGCCTCTGACACATGGAATACGGGTGCCTTGGTGGCCTCCACGATCGCGTCCGCAATTTCCGCCAATTGGTCCACGGTATCCGCCGTTCGCGTCACCAGATGCGGTTGAATGTACGCCGGCAACCGGCTCAGCCAAATGATTCGCAACACCGTATCCCCCACGACATTACCCGCGAGGGTACGAAGATGCCGCAAAAATTGCGACGGCTTTCGGTCGCCGATTTCCTCGTGCTCGAGCAACCGACGCGTTTTGTGCTCCTGCGTCAAACTTAGTCTTTTTATCAATTCCGTTTTTAACGCTTCGCACGGACGCTCCGCGGACGGACTCATTATAATGTCCCGCACTTCCGCCGTGTAAGTCGGCCCTAGCGCGGTCAACGCGTAACCGAATTTCGTCGTTTCACTGGTAATTCCGGCCGCCTGGAAACTGCGATCTATTATATTAAACCAGAGCTTCGGATCGGCTGGAGTAAACTCTGGCATACGCATACCAACGCGGCTCACCTCAGGCCCGGTCATAAAAAAACCTGTCGTCATGTTGGCTCCGCTCTCCTGGTTCGCTCTCGTCGGTTGAATCGGCATCTGGAGTTGCGCTTCCTGCTGTTCCGGCACGGGCAGGCGCACCGCTTCGTCCTCCCGCATCAACGGCATCCTCGTCCGCCGGTGTTGGATCCGCTCTCCGTCTTCAATTCACCGCACCGCACTTGCACTTCTCGCCGAAAATCTCGCGATCACCGCGTTAACTTACCCGCGGTAATATTCGCGCGGATTCGCGACTTGATCACGTCGGCAGGTCACCACTTTGGGATTTTATGTCTTATTGACTAAATATAATTTCTTAGAATAGCGTGTATCCTCGAGAAGGAAGTCGGTAATTATATGCGGAAGGCCCGGCGATAGTTCGGAAAGGATTAAGTATAAGAATATCGAACGGCACAATTATGATAGACTCTTTGTTTAATTTAACTCAGACTATTCGTCTACACGTCCGATCTCTCCGAAGTTTCACAGCAGAGTTCCTTGTTCTCTCGCGCCGGAGTCTCGCATGACCCCCTGACTTATTTTTCTCGAATCTTCTAGAAGTCTTTTATTTCTATTGTTCTACATGTTTTTTGTTTATTCTCTTGTCTTTCCGACGCTGTTATTGTTTCTGATTTTAACGTTATTTTTAAATGATTTATAATCTAACTGTTTTCCTGAATTTTCGCTATCTGATACAATTTAATATATCACGGCTAATCGCTTACTCGACAGAGGCATTTAAATGCCTCAGCTGATTCGCTTCGCCTGTGCGTTTGTGTGCACAGTCAATATTGTTCTCGGCGTGCCTTACTTTCAATGCTACGCCTTTAAATTATTTGTCGTGGCGATATTTGACGCCACAGCATCAATTGTAACTTCTTTTTTTTTTAATCGATACAACAGACAGTAAGGGAAAATAATATATAGATAAGAATATCATAAAACTTCCGAAAATCAAGATATTTTGAAAAAAGGAAGAAAGAAATTTCAAAATTTAAAAAAAATCGTTGTTTTTTAAATAAATTAGTTATTTTCCAAAAAATGATACAAGGTTTTAATTTACAGAAATCGAAACATATTAAGTTGTATTTTAAGGAAAAAAATACATTATTACGAATTATCCTAAAAAATATATTTATTCGACGAGATTGAATTTGGGTGATTTTCAAGTAATACGATAAAGTTAGTGCAGAAATCTTTATTATATGACATCTAAATATACAAATGAAATTATTCATTGATTTACGTGGAACAGGCAAAACAAATTTTTGCGACATGTTCCCTACACATTGGCTATTGGCACTGCAAGCACATGTAATAAGTTTTCCTATCTAAAGCCCCTGGACAGAATAAACAACTTCTTTGTTTTTCTATTTTGTTTACAGCTAATATATCGAGCGGATCTTGATTTTCTGGAATGTCTGTGTGTTTCATGAATTTTTCGATTTGAATTTGCATTTGAATTTGATCTTGTTCGTATATTTACTTACAATTTGATTTCGAAATAAAAAACGTAATAATCACACAGGGTTAACGTAACCCCACACAATAAGTTCATGGCGTTCTATCTCGACTGGTTCGTGCACGCTGAAGTTACCAGGCGGGGGATTTGCAGTAGGGATGCGAAAGTTCCCCCCCTCCCCCTTTGTTCCCACTCCACACTTCTGATCGTTCATAAACGCCACGCGGTTTTTCAAACGGACTGTGTTACCGTAATCCATGGTGGTGTTCAAGGCTTAAAACTCATACTACCCTTGTTTTATGCAAAAAATTAATAATTTATATTAATTTTTTATTATCATTTTTATCTGTAATTGATGCATATATAGTTGCTTATCTAACGTATTTTTTTGCTTTAATTGATTTTAACTATTTTTTTATATCATAAATTTATATTTATATTTTAATTTATTTCTATCAAAGAGAAGTAAATATTATACTTGCTGCACCTTCTTAAATTACTTAATTTACATTTTCATTTGTGTACGTCTCAAATTATACTTAAGTAATTAATATCTACTCGAATATCACTTGTCGAATAAATGTCAATTTAACACCTAAATTTAAGAAATATGTTAATATAAAATATTTATTATTAGTTAATATAAATTATTATATTGTTTGTATTGATTAAAAGTGAATATAAATTATTATATTGTTTGTATTGATCCACGGTTAATAAGTATTCTTGTTTTGATAACGCTGGCGTCAATATGCGTTCGAATTTACAGTTTTTTGAATTTATAAGACTACAATTTGGTGTTTACTCTGTGCTTTTATTGAAAGATTACATGAAATTATGGAGAACTGATATAAAAGTAAGACTCAAAATTTATTTTTTAAAAACTTGCTTAAAAGAAAGATTAATTCCCATACATTTTAGAGGTTTTAATAATTATAGATTCACGATGAATTATAAAACATCTAACATTAAAATTGATAAATTAAAACAACAATGTATGTTTAAATGTATGCGTGTAGAATTGCATGATGCGTATCGTTTTCTATTTAGTATAAAAAATGATCTTAGTAAATTAGAAAAATTGATTGCTGGTTGGATTCCAAAACAAACTTCTGATTCTTTTTTTCAATGTCAAGATATTACAAGAAATAGAGTTTGGACCTATGAATTTAACAAAATTAATAATAAAATTGAACATTTACGAATAGCTAAGAATAAAAATGATAAAAATAATATAAATCCAATTAAATTTGAATTACTTTGGTCAGAAGCAACTAATACACTTACAGAATTTAAACCTTCAAAAATACATAAGATTTCCTCGGATAATAGTGATAAAATTAAAGTTCTAGATAATAGTTCGTTAATTTCCAACACGTGTAATACACATACAATTAACAATAACATTAAATATGACAAGCACATAATTAACATTAGTCCAACTGAATTTAACCAAACATTTTCATTATGTAATATTAATGATGATTGGTTGATTAACTTGAGCAATATAAACATTCCAGATAGTGTCAAAATGATCTTACAATTGGGGCAAAAATTCAATTTACCACTGAATAAAAATAATCAAGAAAAGACAATAATCGAATTTGTTAAACAAATAGAATCTAATATTTTTAACATAGACAATTCAAAGAAGAATAAGATTAGGAATGATTGTATTGAAATCTTACATAAGTTACCTCACAAAGTTAAAGAAAAAAAGTTGGACGATGAAATATTATTAGTTGAATGTATGAATGATGTACGAAAGTTTGTGGCAGAACAAAAAGACATTTTAATTACAAAATCTGACAAAGGTAATTCCACAGTAGTTATGAATTTATCAGACTATAAGAATAAAATGATTATGTTATTATCAGATAAAGAAACTTACATTGAAATTAAGAAGGATCCAACTAGTAAACTAATTAGACAAACACATGTATTAGTAAAACGATGGAAGGATAAGGAATATTTAAATGATCAAACCTATAAATTACTAAATGTTACAGATTGTAATTTAGCGAGATGTTACGGTGTGCCCAAAATCCATAAAATTGGCAATCCTTTACGTATCATTGTAAGTTGCATTGACTGTCCTCTTTATAAATTATCTTCTTATATCAAAGAAATAATCAACAAAAGTGTTAGTAAGCATTTTAGTCACATCAAAAATAGCTATGAGTTGGTGCAGAAAATAAATGGTAAAAGTTTAAATGACAATTATAAAATTCTGTCCTTTGATATCGAAAATATGTACACAAACATTCCAGAAAAATTAATATTAACTAGTATTAGCAATAGATGGTCAGATATCTCAAAAAATACTAATATTCCTATAAATGAATTCATGAGTGCAATTTCCTTGATATTCAATTCAACATTTTTTAGATTTGATAACCTTTTTTATAAACAAGTTTTTGGATTGCCAATGGGCTCACCGCTCTCTCTAATCTTGGCTGATCTCGTAATACAAGATCTTGAGACAGACATTTTAAGTCGTTTAAATGTTCCTGTATCCATTTATTGCAGATATGTAGATGACATTTTGCTTGCCTTGCCTTTCGATAAAATTGAAACAGTTTTGGAACTCTTTAATAGTTATCACAATCGCATTAATTTTACTCTTGATAAAGGTTCGAATGATTCTGTAAGTTTTTTAGATGTCAAGGTCATGATTAAAGATGGTTGCATCAGATTTAATAATTACAAAAAAATGACTAATTC